GGGATTCAAAGGAACTTCCTCTGCCCCCTTTCTTCCCCCGGCGCGCCGTTGTCTTGCCGCCGCAGGGCTCGCCAGCGGTTTGCAACCCGCCCCGCCCGTGAGGAGAGTCAGGCGGCTGCAAGAAGAGGGGGAGTCCTGTGGAAAGGGCCGAGAGACAAGAGCGGCAGCGGGGGTGTCAGGAGCTGTCGTTTGGCAGCGGCTGGGTGTCCGCGCCCGTTCCCGAACCGTGGCCGGTGGCTGCCCTCGAGAATGGGCGGGCCCCCCCTTCTTCCCCCCTCCCCCACCCCCCCCCCGGGCTCCCCCCCCCCCCCATTGCTTCCTCACAGCCTCATCCATAAATGTCTCCCGTAGGAAGGCTACAAATGCGCGGACGTTTCTGCTAGAATGAGATCTCGTTGGGCTTAAACGGCTGCCGCCTGTCTTTTAAAAGCATCGACATGAGGCAGGTTTCGTTTTGCCTCTCCATAGTTTCCTATGGATTCCCTGCTGCAGTTAGTGTTCCCAGCTGGGCGCCTAAAAGGTGGACTTTGTGTAATAGGATAGGCTTCTCTAGAGATGGAGAATTCACAATTCTTCTGTTTTTGTCCATTGCTGTTTTCTACTCGGCCTACCAGGAAAGTTGTGATGCTGCCCTTTGTGAGCCTGCTGCTCTTCCATACCTTCTCCCTGAGGGAGGGGGACTCCCTTGCAGAACATTTGTTTGACACCAGTATTGGCTTCCTGTGTGCATCAGCACCATCAGCATCAGCACCAAAGCAGGACTCCATCCTTTCTCACAAGGCTGAAGTTGGTTCCTTATTCCCAATTCCTTTTTCATGACTTATTCATGACTTATTCATGAATTCATCCAAAAGCACTGAGGAGAGTTTGAAAGCTCTGAATCCCAGAGCTCCAGTTTCCCTCAAACAGGTTGAAAGTCCCCAGGTAGTTGATACCTAGCTAACAGCAGAATAACCAGGGCCAGAGAGGGAAGTAAAGAGCACCATTCCAGTAGTACCAACCAGGCAGCAACTTAGCCCAGTGATTCAGAGGCCAGCACAGAAAACCTATAGGCTGCCCAGGAGAAAGGAATGAGGCTCAAGTTGGTTCCTTATTCCCAGTTCCTTATTCATGAATTCGTCCAAAAACACAGGAGAGTTTGAAAGCTCTGAACCCAAAATAAGGTCTGGACCATCACACATCATACACCCCGAGGTTCACAGGACTCTTCCCTTCAAGAGGATATATCAAGAGGATATATTTAAGGAAGTGCTCTCTGTACCCAAAATAAGGTCTGGACTGCCACACTTTATACACTCCCATGTCTTTGGGGTGCCACTGGACTCTAGCTTCATTCTCACATCTCATGTGTTAATTTGTTACCATCCATTGATTTTGGCCACCTGATCCAATTTCAGCTCTGTATATACATTTTGGCTCTGAGTGGCCCCTCCTGACAGCTGTCCCCCCCTTTCCCCCTGTAAGTAGCCCTTGAGATCTTGTTCCAATTTGTCTCAAGAACTGTGCTTTGTGCACGAAAGCTTACACTTTGAATAATACTTGATTGGTTTCAAAGGTGCCATTGGACTCATTTGTTTTACCGCTTCAGACCAACACAGCTACGCACCTGAATTGATCTCAAAGGTGCTACTGTGGACAGTCTGTGTGTGTAATTGCTCAGTGATTGGGAACTAAGCCATATGTGACTGGTGCAAGTGTCCGTGGGGCACATTTGGGCCTGAAACAAGTTACTAAACATAACACACTGTGGCTGTTTGAAGTATGATTAGGTTATTGGACCTATTTCTGGACTCTACTGAATGTGCATTTTCATATATGTGGGTCAGCTCTTTACTGCATTGTGACATCATCATTGATTTGTGGAAATAGCTTGGAAAGTCAGAAATGATGGTCCTGTCTTTGAGGAGAGTCCACTGAACGTGGGGGTATATGAAGTGTGGCAGTCCAAACCTTATTTTGGGTGCAGAGGGCACTTCCTTATTCAAATCTTCTTTGAAATACAGGCCTCTGGGAGGCACTCCAAATGGAAGCTCATGGCACCAGAACCGGTGTTTGGACTGGGGACCACTGTATGTCTTCTTACAGGGGTTAGGGTTGAAGGGGAGAGTGCTGTGATCCTTGGGGTGTATGATGTGTGGTGGTCCAGACCTTATTTTGGGGTTCAGAGCTTTCAAACTCTCAGTGTTTTTTGGATGAATTCATGAATAAGGAACTGAGAATAAGGAACCAACTTGAGCCTCATTCCTTTCTCCTGGGCAGCCTATAGGTTTTCTGTGCTGGCCTCTGAATCACTGGGCTAAGTTGCTGCCTGGTTGGTACTACTGGAATGGTGCTCTTTACTTCCCTCTCTGGCCCTGGTTGTTATCCTGGCAAAGGGTCCATTCTGCTGTTAGCTGGGTATCAACTACCTGGGGACTTCAACCTGTTTGAGGGAAACTGGAGCTTGTAAAACAAGCATGAGTTGCTGCCCTTCTGACCCCAAAGATTTTGCATTCATGTCCAAACAAATGGGGGGGGGCAGGGCCAACTGAAGGGTTTGGGATGCTCTAGGCATGATTTTCATGCCACCCCCTTCAGCATACATATACAAACATAGTGAAACATCAACCAGCTCATTCAAAGTGCTGCAGTCCTAAGCATATATGTGAGTGTGTATAAAGTGCCATCAAGTTGAAGTTGACTTATGGCAACCCTGTAGTGTTTACAAGGCACTTGATTAAGTAGAGGTAGCTTACCACTGGCTTCCACTGCAAAGTCTTCCTTGGTGATCTCCCATCCAAGTACAGACCCTGCTTAGCTTCTGAAATCTGATGAGATCAGGGTATACTATACCACTCCAACTCCCCACCTCGGAGTAAATCCCATTGGACATAGTGCAAGTTACTTTTTTTAACATTGCTTTTAATTTTTTTAAGACAAACATAACATAAAATGAGGGTATCCATTACCTCCTTAAATTTCTCATTTACAAATCTCATACCTTAACAGATCATTAATTTTGTATATTCCACCTTGTATCGTTGTACAGTTCTCTTGCAAATATGTAAAAATAAAGTTTTTATATCCTTAACATAGATTATATGTCTACATGTTTTATTTATTGTATTCTTCAATCCATTTATAAAGTCTTGACCAATTATTTTCAAAAATTGTCTCTGGTTGTCCTTTCAGAGTTAAAGTTAGTTAAAAAAAAGAGTTAAAGTTAGTTTATCCATTTCAGCAGTTTCCAAAATTTTATTTACAAGTTCTTCTCTCGAAGGTACTTCCTTTCTTCTCCAATATTTGGCATAGAGTATTCTTGCCGCTGTTGTTACATGTATTATCAACTAAAAATCTTGTTTTTTACATAAAAATAATTCTGGTACAAAGAGAATAGGACTTTTAAACATTTTTTGTAAAATTTCATGGATCCAAAACCAATATTTTTTTCATTTCATCACATAACTACCACATATGATAAAAGGACCCAGTATTTTTTTTTACATACCATACATTTAATAAGTTAGGGTAAATCTTTACAAGTTTATCTGGAGTGATATACCATCTATAAAACATTTTATAAATATTTTCTTTATACGAAATTGCATTGGTAATCTTTACATTTCCCCCCACACACCTGTGATCATTGATCTAAATCAATATTGTGACCAAGTTTTGCACCCATTTTACTATAGAATTTTTAACTACTTTGTCTTGGGTCTTATTATCTAGCAATAATGCATACAATTTCTTAATGTTTCATCGGAATACAACAATATCTTATCAATTTCTGTTATTTTTACATAGAAACTATTGACTTGTCTTGAGCCTATCTTGACTCTATTTGTACTCTTTCTCACCATGTTAAACTTTTGGTTGGTTTTAATTCAATTTTATTATCTAACAAATCTTCATATCTTATCAGTGTATCTATTGCAAATAAATTAGGATTTGTAAAAGCTTCCAAGGGTGCATCCCATTTCGGTGTCTTGGTATAAAAACAACTTTTGATTTCTTCCCATACCTTCAATAAGGAAGATCTAATAAGGTGTTGCTTAAAATATTTGTGCGTAATTGTTCTTCCATACCATACAAATGCATGCCAACCTAATAAAAGATCATGTCCTTCCAGCTTCAATAGTCTTGTGTTTTCTACTGTAATCCATTCTTTTAGCCACGTCAAAGATGCTGTTCTATAATATAAGAGCCAGTCTGGTAGTGCAAATCCAGCTCTTTCCTTTGCATCTTGTAGTGCTTTAAGTTTTATTCTTGGTTTCTTATCTTGCCATATAAATTGGGTCATCAGTTTATCCAGTTCTTTAATTAAACAAAGAGTTGAGGATATCAAACGACAATCTGATATCACTAAGGCTTCAAAACTCGGAGTATTGCTAAATATCAAAAGCACCATTGAGCTGGCTACATAATTGACTTCAGTGGAGGGAAAGAATTCTAGAAGGACATTCGCCCTAGCCAGATGTTCTGCCTTTCCATCTGCAGTTATTCAAGGCAGGTATAATAAAAAAAAACCCTACCCTGAAAGGCTATGTTCATGCACTTATGCAAGATCGAATCAGTAGAGCATATGTTTTTTAGTTGCCCATTCTACAGAGAGGCTCATCTTAAAATCATTACCCCATTAGTTGATAGGATACCTGGTCACATCAATACAAACAAAGCAAGATTTCACTGGCTTCTATCAGATAAGAATGCAGAGATTACAC